TGGACAGCATGGTATGTGATGTTTACTTTTTCAAGAAGTCTTATCTTCTGTCAAACTTTCAGCCTCTCAAAATATGTCCTCTCTCTGTAGGGACATTATTTGTTTCCTCACAACAATCTGGCAATCAAATATCGTGAGTCATTCTACTTTTTCCATTTTCGTTGTAAACAATACGCAATTTATTTTTAGTAAAATCTTATTTCATCAGCAATATTAGCTCTCTACTTGCTAGACTATAACATAATGCCCAGGTCCTCTACTATGAAGATGCTTAAACATATTTGACACTTTGACAGGCTTTCCACTTAATTTATATTTTGTTCTTGTGTGGTTATTTTGGGAGATGATATCTGCTGTCTGGTGGGAATTTTGTGTCTCCACAAGAATGCTGGTGCTGTTGAATTGCTTATGATAATACGTACAAAAGTACAGTTAACATACAAGAAGTAGATGGGGATTGTTAGATGCCGAGTTAATCTAGTGACAGTTCGTGTTGTCACCAGATTTGTTGTGGTAGATCAGTGTCTGGCTGCTGAATCTAATTGCAGGGACATATATAATGGTTAAAATGATTATGAAGGTCTTAGAGCTGATACTGATTCTGTTAAGAAGAAATCTTTCTTTGTTCCTTCTTTTTGGAGATTTCGAAAGCTTTTTCGAAGTTCGAGGGGAATTAGACAAGGTGTTCCCTTGTATCCTTTAGAATCTCGTGTTGGATTAAGGGACTACGTATAGTTATGGATAGGATGATGGAAGGAGAATTTGAGGGGTTTGAGATAAATGGTGATGGAACAGGAAGTACGACTGTATCCTCGCTTTTTGTAAGGTTTTCTATCTTTTAGGTATACCTCGTATGGTAGGGGTTTGCCCTCATTTTATGTAATTTATTTCTTTATTAAAAAAAAAAGAACTTCAGCATCTATCTGAGGCAGTAGTATGGTTTGAAGCAGTCTCAGGATTACATATACTGAATTGGCTCCCACTTGATGGGGGTTTTGAATTATAAGGTTGCGCACCTTCAAGGCGGCACTTCTGGAATCGTGGGGATTTTCTCAAGAGGAGTCTATTTATGGAAGGGTAATATCTACGAAATATGGATTAGTAGATAATTAATTGTTCTAAGGTGGGGCAGATTGCCATTTTCAAAATATGGTTGTAGGGTGGATTAAATCTTATGGAGTGAGTTTGTAGAAGGGGGAATACATATGGGAATAGAAGATTTGAAGATGCACTAGATATAATGTGGGTTAGTGCTACTAGAGTACAATTCTATAGAGGTGTATATTTTGGGGGAACATCCTTGGAGAACACATATCTGCAAGTGTGTAGTCTTTATCCACGGCACCAATCACTTGAAGCTGGATGATTGGGGCATCATGTGGGGTTCACTTGAAATGGGATGACTGAGTGATCATGTGAGCTACAAATTTTAGGAAGACCATCCCGCATTGGTGTTTTCCTTGGGAGAAAGAGGTGATGAGTTTATATGGAGGGAGTGGGGTTGAAATCTCTCACAGAAAATTGTGTTACATGGAGTGGGCAGAACTGGTAATAAGACGGAGGTGCTTAAGAAAGCCTGGAAGATTTTGTTGTTGAAACGTGTATTTGTGTGTGTTTTGTGGCTAAGGCTGGGCACTAGACTGGAATGGGACCACCGGACCAGAACGGGACCGTTTGACTGGGTTGTTGACCGGTATGGAGATGAACCGGACCGGAATTACCGGGATGGAGGCTCGGTTCCGTCCCGTCCCACTATATACCGAGATAGAACCGAGACGGATCGGAATGGAACGAGATGGGATAAACGGGATGTCACATATAGCTATTTCAAAAAATAATTATTTTTTTTGAGTTATTTTGAATTACGAAAATATGACACTTTTAAATTTTTCTAAGTTTATTAGTTTATAGTATTTAGGTTTTAAAACATCTTGAAGAGTTTGCTTTCTATGTAGTGCAGTTTTGGATGTATCCATTATCTTTTAAAGATTCTAGTGTTCACTAGATTGTTCCTTGTGCAGGAATGTACCGACACATGGGCAAGTTGCTCCTATTGGCGGAAATCCATTTGCATAGGATTGTATTCAACTAGTTGTTGGATCAGCTAGGTCATTGTTTCAACTTTTAGATTCCTATGTATTTCATGTCTTGGCCATGTTTGTATTTTTAAAAAAGAATGAGACGACTAGGCAGAAATTACCAAATTTCAAACGCTTGTGTTTAGGCAATGCCTTTTCTTGTTGAGGCCTACAGTGTGTTCTGATACTATTGTTGATGTGATCTGGCTGAAATGTTTTGAGAATGTCCTTGTTGGCTACTTTGGCTGCAAATGACGACGCCTTATTAATTTTCTTGTCAGCGCCCTTCGTACTTTTATCGATATATACAAACTTATAAACAAGCAGAATGCTCTGAAATTTTAATTTTTTTATCGGGGATGACTATTCACTTGAAGAATTTAGGACATTGAATGGAACTTTAGACAAAAAACCACAGGCTAAAAGCGAAGCTTCATTTTAAACATTAGCAAACCAAACTTCAAAATCGTGAATATGAAGCAGCTAAACTTGCAATTTTTTTTTTTAATGAATTATGTCTTAAATAGCTATCGAAAAGGAAGCACATTAGGTAGTGATACTAGGTGGAACTACAACCATTAGATTGATTTTCTATCTTGATAGTACAATTATTATATTACAAGTCAAGCAACTTTTCCTAGGAATACCATTTTTTTATTATTAAAATTATTTGCTGTGTAATTTTCTACTTTATTTCTAAAAAAAAGAAGATATTAATATCCGAAAACCAATGGAATGAATAATAAGAATCAGTATGTGATACAAATAATATATGGTATGATGAAAATAAGAATGTGATAATTAAAATTGGGAGGTTAGAAATAAGGCATATGAACTAATAATGAGAAACTTGTATGTATCTATTTGACTATGTTAATGTAATGTAAAATACAATTAAAACTAAAAACATGATATTATCCAAAAAGTAGTTAAGAATCTTCAACTAGATGTCCCTAACCATCGGTTTTCATTTTTTTTGTCAACCATTTTTCTATAGCATCCATTTACTTGCTGAAAGATCGGAGCTTTCTTGATGCAAACATATGATTGGTTTTATTTTTCTTCACATATATAAATATAATAAAATATGTCACATTTATCCAATTTTCCTACAATTTCTGCATCACAATAATTGTCTTCTTCTTGCTTATGGGTTTTCTTCTCTCTTTCAAATCTCAACTCTATTGGTAATGTATTGTTTTTTCTATCACTTCTTATTCGAGTTTTAATTTCAACCAATATATCTAAAAAGGTGATTTTGACATTTTTAACTCGGATAATGATATTCAATGTTTTGTTGTTTATTCCTCTCCTTCATTTTGATTGTCTAGCACAATTAATAAGAAGCTAAGAAGGTACGAGATTTTTTATTTGAGTAGCGTGATTTAATGGCAACATATTTTCGTTGAATTTTATTTTAAAAAGAAAAATTCTTGAAAGAGGAAATAACTTTTATGTGTTTCCATCAAAATTTCAATGTGTATTACTTGAATTTTCAAATATTTTTTCAATCTCAATTTGTATATTGCAGTTTTACTGTCATATGTGAGTGCACGCAAAAGTATAGTTGATAATATATCTATGTATGTATGTTGATTGAAATTGCAAAACTTGTGATTATTCCTTTTCTTTTTATGTTCGCATTCTCCATGTGTGTGCTATTTTAATGGATCATAAAGCATTTAACAACATGATTTATTTTCTTGTCATAACGAAAATGGTTCGATCTTGGTGATGTAAAAGCAATATTTTTTAAATTCCTTTGACAAAGAGTCAGATTTATTTATTGACCTATTATTTAAGTAGGTTGTTTATTCATTTGAGAGATATAACTTTGCTCTGTTTGCTCTTCTTAGTCGATAAAGTAAAGTGAAATTAATAAGTCTGTTTATTTAGATTGACAATGTTAAAGTAAGAAAGACTTGCTCTATATTCAAAATTTTGTAACATAACTGAAAGCATGCTATATTTTCTTTTCTTTATTAGTTGATGCTTTTGGTACATTAATTATCGCAGCATGACAATGTCTAATTTTATTGATGTAAAAGCAAATGAGAAAATTATCGTAGATGAAAATAGTTAAGAATTAAAGTCACCATCAAGCATAAACTTTTAACAATGTTGATATTATAATGGACACTCTTTTTATGCTTTGCATGTGATTCAACTAAATATATTATTTTAAACACTGATACAAAGTAAGATATTCTAATAGCATTTAGCTTCAGTTTTGCCAACAGTGCATTGAAGTTTATATCTTTACTTACTATGCTCTATCAAAAGATATATAGTATATCTCATGTCTTGCTATTTATTTATTTTTAATGTTCTAACTGACGCACAATTTAGCTTCTTTCTTGATTTATTACTTGTACAAAAATTATGTAAACTAAAACATAGCCGTCATTTTTCATTTTAATCATTTTTAGACATTTACCCTAACCTTTTTTAGTGTACGTATTTTAAGTGGTCATAACTGTTTTATTCTCTTTTTATTAAAATAATTTTATACATATATCATTGTGCTACCTTTAATAGTTACTATTATTGTGCAGTACTTTAATTTGTTGATATGCTTAATTCCGTCTTTTCTCTCTATATCAAGACTTAGTAAATATGTCATCCAAAAAGTCGCAAGGAGTTGAATTCTCTCTCTCATCTGCAGAGCAGCAAGCTAAGGTTCCCATTTACATTACATTTAGCATCTATTTTTCACGTATATATTATTATATATGCCTCATTTCATTATAATTAAGGAGCTAAAATTTGATGTAGAGAGCCTCACAAATATTTTATTTGATGTGTAAAAAGTAAAATATGTCAAAAGGATTTATTTTTAAGTAGTAAGATAAGAATATGATATAGTAATAAAGAAGGTTGATGTGTTCAAATGTAATAGTAATTAATTTCTTTGTGATTCAGATGAATGAGGTTAGAAAATTAATTGGTCCTGCTCTTAACAAATTTCCAGCAATGTGTTCGGATGCATCAATTCAAAGATTTCTGAGAGCACGAAATTGGCATACAAAAAGGTCAGCCAAAATGCTCAAAGAAGCATTAATATGGAGACTAGAAAACAAACCAAACATGATCCGTTGGGTACGTACGTACTTGTTAATTTGTTTCATATTAATGAAGATATGACTTGTTCGATCACTCAATAATTATTCATTTCATGTTAAATAATATATAGTTTGTGTCTAATTAGGATGATATTGCTCAACAAGCAGAACCTGGAAAAGTTTACAAAGCCAATTATTTTGACAAATATGGAAGGACTGTGCTTGTCATGAAGCCTGGAATACCGGTAGGAAATAATTATCAAAATTTTCTTGTATCAATTGTACTAATTGTAATGTCTCCTACATTATTATGTTTCAGAATCCTTACTCAGTAGAGATGCAAATGAGATATCTAGTTTATTGCATGGAGAATTCCATATTGGATCTAAAATCTGGTCAGGAGCAAATGGTTTGGTTGATCGACTTTGAAGGATGGAACATGTCTAGCATATCAGTAAAAGTGACTAGGGAAACAGCGCGTATTCTGCAAGATTGTTATCCAGAGAGGCTAGGTCTTGCAATCCTTTATAATCCACCAAAAGTTTTTGAGTCCTTCTGGATTGTAAGTCTCGATAGTAAATTTATTTTTTCATTGCTAGCTGCACATGATGAATTATGTTTTTTTTTTGTACGTACGTAGTTGGTAAAACCATTCCTTGAGAAGAGGACATACAAGAAAGTGAAGTTTGTGTATCCAAATGATGTGGATACTCAAAAAGTAATGGAAGATTTGTTTGATATGGACAAGCTTGAATCATGTTTTGGAGGAAAATGCACACAAGGTTTTGATTATGTCACTTACTCTAATCGCATGAGAGAGGGGGATAAGGTGATGACTGATTTTGTTATTTCTGGTGCTCCTTTGCCCTCTGATCAATACTTGACAACATTAGACAATGGTTTCGAATTGTCTGAGGATGGTATATCCTCTACTGATGAAACAACATCGAATTTGGAAAGTTCAGATGAGACTGAAGATTTACAGATGAATTATAACGATGAAATCAAAGTTGATCCAAATGCTTCAAAACAAAGCCAGTAAACATGACAAGAAGCAATCTCTCTTCTCTTTTCTTTACTCTTTTTGTTTACTTGTAAATTGTTACTCTATAATATTATGTAATTATATCACAACTAACAACTTCATAGATTGATTATCTATTATTCAAACATGTTTAATAAGTAGTTGTAATTTTTGTACAGAGAGATTAATATAAAATTTAATCTCAATTTGCTTTCAGATTTCTTTTTATTTTCATCTTTTTTAATTTTTTCTTTCTATAAAAGAAAATGTTGAACTAACAAATTATTGATATATAAATGAACAATCATATTATCTAAGGATATTGAGATGATGTAATTTTCCTCCTAAAATATGCAAAACGCATAATTGAAATATGATTTACTTGTGCTCTAAGTAAATTGGGGTTGGCTGAATACCCTCATCCATTCTTACTAGGGAATTGAAAGAAGCCTCAAAAACAGAAGAAAGGGGGGAAAGAGATGTAGAAATGGAATCTGTTTTCGAAATGAAGGGGACTAAACAGGATAAGAGGGATCCACTGAAGAAGATCCTTATCCTTCTCCTTCCCCTTTTTCGGAAGAAGGGTGGAATCCGAACAAAATCGATGAAACGAAAGAAATTCGAGTGCACCGCATAAAACATTCCCCCTAGAGAAGCTGTACATTAATACGATTAAGAGAAACTTGCCATTTTTGTACATTCAGTATACTCTACGGATAGAGGAATACATAGTTGAACATAGTAAATAAGAAATTGAAAGATTTCGTTGAAATTGTTCGTTGGAAATTTCCCTTGAAAGGACTTACGCTTTGCACCTGAAGGAGATTCTCTAGTTAGGTACAATGCAAACCTTTCATTTTGGTGGGTTGAAAGAGCCATAAAGGACTATAATCTCTTTCTTGAAAGAGTGTAAATTCTTCCTTTTCTTATCCCAATTTCCCACTCTTTCTGTGAGGCATGACGCCTTGACAGGCTTTGACCCGCTTTCCTTCGCTTACCGGAGAGTGTATTCTTTATTATTGACTTTTCACGGTTGATCGCACCTCGCACCTAAAGGAGTCGATCCTTGTGAGGAGGATGACTCTTCTCTTGCTAAAAGTGCTTACTCATGATCTATCGTGCAGTTGATGGTATCATTCTGAGATGATGTGTGCTTAAATCGCATATTAAAAATAATTTTTTTATAAATAGCATTTCAGAAACACAATCGTTTAATCAATTGTCAACACAAATACGATTGATAAATATGCGATTCATATGTCAGGTTTCACAAATGTTATTTACAAAGTCATGTATATGATTTATAAATAGCTACTATTGTATTTCGTCTTTTGAAAGTCAACAAAAGAATTGTTTTAAGGTTTATTTAGAATATTTATTTGACATAGTTTATTTTCTTAATTCTAATTTCAAATGACGAAAACATATCTTTTTCTATTCTTTAAATTTTGGAGCAAAACAATTACTAATATTTGCATTCATGTGTATCGCCATCTTGATAACATGAATCAAGAGATGCTTTGTGCATAGATGAACGTTTTTTCTTCTTTCTTTTTCTCATTTTAATTGGTATTGGTACTTTATTATTATTATTACTATTAATAATAAGTAGCTAAACTACAAGATGCAGAGTCATATTGTATTTGTCCTGCTATTGGCAAACAAATCTAACGAGTGATGATCATCCTTCAGTATTATATCAAATCCCAGTTTTTGTTGTTGGATTTTCATCCCTATTAGCGAGTTTTATGACCCATTAATCCTCTAAACAATTGATGGGTTTTTGTGGACTATCGGAATTTATCTCTATTTCAATCTTGGTATGCATTTTCTTTTCTTAATTCTCTTTGTTATATTTATCGATTCTTGTAATTTCAATATGAAAATCTTTTCTGGTTTTTTTTTTTTTTATTTATATTTTTCGCAGGAATTCTGCATTTGTGTTTGAATTGATTTGTCAAGTTGGGATTTCTTGATCTAAAGGGAATTGATCCTAGTTTATAAATTTTTGACAAGAACTAGGTGGGTACAGTGAAGAAAAATTAGATATTCAGATCCCATTTGTTAGTGGATGATTGAATAGATGTTCAAGTTGGTTTCATTCATATTTAGGATATGGATAGTTAATATTATTTTTTTTCTTATTTGGTTGTGCATTTGTCATAGCGACGAGTGAAGTGCTTATTCTTCAAGAATAAGTTCCTATTTGATTTCCTGAAGAATTTTTCTTAGCAGTTGCGGAGATTTGTGGGATTGTTACTTTTTGGCATGTAAAACTTACTCCTTAGGAGTTCCTATGGAAAATAATATCGAGACAAAGTTGTATTTTTTTTAACCTCCCCCTAGTTTTCTCTCTTTTACGCTTCCTCAGTTTGACATGTATGCAAGTTTCATATACGGGATAGGCTATTTGGCTTCTTACTAATCCTTGTTGAACGTAGGAATGGAAAGGAACATTCCACAGTATTTGAATTCAAGGGACTTGCATATTTTGTTTGATTTGTGACCATTCATTGTATTGCTTGAGTTTGAGTACTTGCAATTGAAAAACTATTTGTTTTAGCTAGGGTCTATCAGAAACAACCTCCTTACTCCACAAAGTTATGGGAAAGACTTACATACATCCTCAGACCCTAATTACTGAAATTATGTTGTTGGTTGTAAGGGCTCTCACTGGAACAAAAACTCTATCTTGATCACTTGCTCCAAGAGCCTAAATCTGTATTTTCAACTGCTAGTGAAACTATTGCTTGACATTGTCTACACCTAAAGTGCCAATGAGTGATTGTCTATTGTCACCAAAATTGCCATATTTTCAACACACAACATTTCAACAGGTATTAGATTCTGTAACGAGTTTATTGCAAAGAACCTTATATATGTTAAAATGTTGAACCTTTTGACGTTTAAATTTTGGATCAAAAGACATCCAGCTGCATATTTTCCTCCATTATAGCTTGGTCATCAATTCATTGAGTTTGCATTGTTTTACTTTACCCTACATGTATCATTGATATAAAAGTAGCTGTCATATTCTGTGTTTCTTCCATTAGGAAAAACACAGCCGATGTTTTGACAATGCATTGACAGGCGAACAGTCAAATATTTAAATGATATAAGCGTAGTTAAGGACACTGAGCTACTAATGATTTAGCAATTCACCAAAACCCCTTCGACGGAAAATTATATTATTTATACATGATTAAACTTACCAACTTTACATATTTTTATAAAGGTTATTACCTAAAGTCAGTTTAACAACCATAATTTGGTTAAAATAAATTAAAATTGGGAGGTGGTAGTATTTTTTTAATGAGAATAAGGGAAGGGTAAAGCGGGAAAGTCGGCTAAATTTACAGGTATTTTATATTTAGATTTAATTGGCCATTGAAAAGTCTAATGTTTTTTTTATATTATAAAGTAGTGTGTTTTCCCTGAAATCGAAGAGGCGAGAAGCAAAAAAAAACAAAAAAAAACCATCTTTTTATCTGTCTTGTCTCAATTCCACAACTTTCTTCTCCCTCTCTCTCTTTCTTTGTAGAAATGGCAGATCAGCTCACCGATGATCAGATCTCTGAGTTCAAGGAGGCTTTCAGCCTATTCGACAAGGACGGAGATGGTTAGATTCTAAGCTTTTTCGATTTATTACAACAAGTTTCATTTCTATTTTCCAGATCTGGCTTTATTGACTTCCTGTTTAGTCTCTGTTTTAGATTTTAGATTTTAGATTTTAGATTTGATGGAACAATTATGATGATTTTGTGGATGTCAAATCTGTGTAAAAGTTCATTAATTTGGTGTGTAGGAATGATATTTCCCTTCAGAAAGAAACCGATTAGAGAAAATGGAAGATACGAGCTTCTTCATTCAATTTTGAGTGCCATAATTTATTAGTTTAGAAATATTGGAGATTTTTGTTTTTAAGATGTGGAAAAATGCAAATCAGAGGATTATATGCGAAGCATTCAGTCGGATGCATGAAAAAAAATAATAGGATTTTGATGTTCAATCTTGGGCATTATTTGTAACAATGGTGAATCTTTGATCCTGTAGTCGTAATTAGTACTCCTATTTGATTACTTTTTTTGGATATGGGCCAAAGCTTCTGTCTTTATAGCTAATGATATCAACTTGCTTTAAATGGTAGTTATAGGTCCTTTGTATTTATTGTAGCCGTGTATGAGTAGATCTCTTGCAGATTCTGTATTAGTTTACAAGCATTTAAAATGGTACTTGTGTTTTTACTTTAATAAAGCAAAATCCTTGGCCTAGTGGTCAATGACGTGGGTTGAGAATCATGAGTTCTCATGTTCAAATTCAAACACTAGGTGATTTTTCCCCGCCTTGGTTGACAGAGTTACTTGGTACCTGATGTTGGTGTGGGAGGTGACACGTATCCCGTGGAATTAATCGAGGTGTGCCAAAGTTGGTTTGGACACCATGGTTATCAAAAAAAAATTATCTTTCAGAAATAAGATGCTGCAAATAATGGTCTAAATATCTGATTTGACGGACTTCAATGTCTTTTACCCAAAATGACCCAATATACGCTCTTTTATTTTTCCATTTAATTTAATATAATTTTTAAGGGATGCTGGGGATGAAGTGACGATTTAAATAATATATCAGTTTGAGGAAGAGCTATAGTTTGTGTGTTACATGATGGTGTATTCTTTGGAATTCCAACTGTTACATGTGTTGACCGTCTTTTTTCTTTATCAGTTACCACTTCAGAACTGGCTTTGCACATGCAACATTTTGGATCTTGTTTTGCTTGTGTAGCAGAAAGATGCAAATATCTTAAAAGATTCATGTATTTTGTTTGGAATATGTATTATGACACTATGTTTTTTGATTTAATTATTTATCAGACTGCTTGCTGTTGACTTTGTGAGATAGCATATGAGATGTGTCTTCTAGACTTTGGCATAACATAGAGGCCTTAGGAAAGAACTTTGGCTCTAGTTAGTCACCCCCAACCCACAGGTGGATGTAATCATCTGAATTATCTGGTATGGTTAACTTTACATTTGGTTTCTTTTGAAAGTACGCATTGGAAAAAGAAATGCAGTCAGTAGCATACGTTGTTTGATCCTTCTGGTTTAGTATGTTGATATTGTTGTTTTGAATAGGTTGCATTACAACTAAGGAGCTTGGGACTGTGATGAGGTCGTTGGGACAGAACCCAACTGAAGCTGAGCTCCAGGACATGATAAATGAAGTGGATGCTGATGGTAATGGAACCATCGACTTCCCAGAGTTTTTGAACCTCATGGCCAGGAAGATGAAGGATACAGACTCAGAGGAGGAGCTGAAGGAGGCATTCAGAGTGTTTGACAAGGACCAGAATGGGTTCATCTCTGCTGCTGAGCTCCGTCATGTGATGACTAACCTTGGTGAGAAGCTGACTGATGAAGAAGTTGATGAAATGATCAGGGAGGCTGATGTCGATGGCGATGGACAAATTAACTATGATGAGTTTGTTAAGGTCATGATGGCCAAGTGATTTCCCTCTTCTGAAGTTTTTTTTTTAACTGTGAAAAAAGACCTAACATTCGTCAGACTGGGTCAGCTTTGGGATAATGGTTTCTTTTAACAAATTTATCCAGTTAGGTTGTACCTTCGGATGAATGTAATGCTCTATCGTTTGGTGGTTGAATCACTTTCTTTCTCTTATTTGGTTGTCTTGTACCTCGGCTGATAAAGTTGTCTGGTTCATATTTAGGGCTTTGTTGAACTAAGTCTATGGAGACTGTAACTTTTTATTTATTTATTGACGAATGCAGTTGTAATAGCTTGCATTAATGCAAACTTTTTGAGGCTGGAAATTGTAAGAGTCTCTAGCCGTCATGCAGCTTACAAACAAATTGTCAATTGTTTTATTATGTTATTGGGGTGATTCTTTATGTTCGTTGCAGAAGTTGTTAGGACTCTAGTGTAGGTGTCGAAAAATCCACTTTTTTACTGCAGAATTTCACTGATAACTGGTGATTGTTAGGGCTCAGGAATAGAGTTGGGAATAAGAGTTTGATAATTGAAGCAAGAATGCATATCATTTAACATGGTTTTAGTGGTAAATGTAAGAGTTGTATTTATTGATTAATTTGATTCAAATCTAAGTAATCTTCATTTTAGATTGATTGCGAACATCAATATAAATAGATCTATGTGATTCAATTCACCATGTAAATGAAGTCTTTGTCGTTGTTCTAGAAAGATCAAAACGATTTGATTGTTCTGGTTAATTTGAAATATATGTAAACAAATTTTGCATATTTATGGCATTATTAATTAACTAGTAAAATGTACAAAACTAATTTTGCATATTTATAACATAATTAGCGTTCAAAATATTTTTCCTTTTTTAACGTGTACTAAAGGACACACACACATATGGTCCAAAGACAAGTCATTATTAGTCAAATGTTTTGAAATCTCACAAACTATAATGATACCAAAAATTCACCCCTGCCGGCTGGCTTCCCATAATCGTTCTCTTTTCTTACAAAGGAAAAAAAAAACAAGTGAGTAGAAGTAAGGAGTAATAAATAATTTTATTACCTAGAAATAATAAAATGGAATACTAATATTTTAATTAAATTTTATACTGGTCTGACGATACCGAGGCAATAAGAGAGAGAGAGTGTGTGTTTGTTTAGAGAGAGAAAGTTGGGAAATGGGACAGTTCACCGGAGACTTGGTATTTTCCGAGCAATAAGCTGAGGATCTGAAGCCAATTTCAGTTCAATTTCGAATTTTTCACCGTAATGGAAGGTATCAATCTGTTTCTCCTTTATTTTCTTTGTAAAACCCTAGAGATTTGGGCTACTCTTTGACTTTTGACTTTCACTTTCTCGATTTTACTGAATTTAGCTCATACTGGTTGAGGGATTAACACTTGGGTTTTCCTGAATTTTGTTTTGGTCTATTCTTTGATTTTTAGTGATGTTTGGTGAGCAAAATTTGCTTATGATCTTTGCCTGAGTGTTCCAGTTTTTATGCTCAAAGTTTTTAGTTTTTTGCTTTGTTAAGTTAAATTTAGGCTCTTTTTTCAAATTGGAGGGGCGAAAATTTCATTTTAGCTGGTAAAAGGAGATGGAAGGAAAATTAACTGCAAAGACCAAATGATCTTGCAGTTCTATTTGGATTTTAGTCTTTGGAGTTGGGATTGGGCCGCCCTGTGTTTAACTAACATCAGGGTGATTTATTGTCTTTGTATATTCGTCTCCCATTTATTTTCATTTGCTGGAAGAGTTGTTCTTGTAAATGCTTCATACTGGGAAGAGAAAGTAATGAAAAGAAGAAACTTTATTTCTCCATTCAAATACCAATATAAACAACAAAAATCAAAACGATAACAGGGAAGTTTTGCATACAAATTCTTGCATCTGTAAATGGAAGGTATGGGTGAATTATTTATCTGTCTTTCAACTGTGAGGAAATGGAAAAAGGTACTAACTCGAAAAAAGTCTAAGTAGTCCTACTTAGTTAGATGTTTAATGTTGGAGAATTGGAAGCTTGAAGCATTCTTTAGATATATTTCTCCCCCCTTCTTTGCCTAATCACATCAGAAAGCAGCAACTGTAAACGTGAGATGAGAAAAAGAGAGAAAGCTCTTACTGAATCAGTGTTGTCAAAGGTGAAAAGTGGGAGAAATGCCAAATCTGTTGGGGCTTTACAAAACAAAACCCAGGCTGAAAAAAAAGGGTATAAATCTGCAATTCCACATAATAACTATAATTCAATCAACAATAATATGGACAAATGAGTTGACAATTTTTTTAAATAATTTTAATGAAATTAGCGCCACTCTTTTAGATAGAGCCCATCGGTCATGAGATGCACATAAGCTGGCTTATCTTGTACTTATCCATGTTCCTCCATTTGTCCAATAAATATTCCTATCTCAGCCTCTTAGCTAAAGATCAATTGCACTTCTGCATACATAAGCAGTGCACCTTTTTCTAAGACACAAGTTTCAAAATGTTATGGCATGTTTATGACCACAAGATCAAAAAGTCTTCCTTCCTTTTAAACTTAAAATCCATACTGATCAAACTATTGTTACATAAATTGAAAATTTGACTCGACGGAAGTAATAATATTAGTATCTTTATTACCAAAAGAAATCTTGGATTCTTAGCTCGTGCTAGGTTTTGTTGAATTCAGTTAAAAGTGAAAATTTACTGAGTAACATTCATAATAATGGATTAATGATTGCTATTTACTTGGTTGATTAGTTGACAGTAAGAGGCTGCATCATGAATCTCCAATGCTACCCTTTAAACCTAACGTCTCATGCCCGGCTTTTGATTAACTAAATTTTGAGGTGCAATAAATTATGTGTCTTAATTTTGAGGACATGGATATTGATTTTTAGAAGTATCTGTTTTGTGGAGAAGAAGAATTTTTGCCGTTGTGAGCATCAAATTAAATATTGTCCTGGACATTCTTAAGTTTTATGGTCATTTGGTTGCCAAATTTTAGGTGATAGCTGGCTTATGAGAATAACTTTAACATCTTGATAACTTTTATGCATGTTTTATAGTGATTTTTTTTATATATTAACATTTTAATGACAGTTTTGCATATAATATAATGACTTTCTACTTACACTCCTCATAAAGTCTATGCACTAGCATCTGTATGTTGGTGTTATTAAGGTAAAATTTTGACTGATACACCTCAGCAAATCGCATCTAGTTTAACTTGTGAAATTAACACCCCAAAAGCTAGGTCAAAGGGAGGAGGATTGCCCAAGCCTTATAAGGAGTCCACCAATGTGAAACTTTTGTCATTCTTTAACACCCCACCTCACGCCCAGTGCTTAGCATCTGGTGCGTGGGCAATTTTGATTTTGGGGTCCCCAACATTGGGTGGGATGGGCCCTGCTGATATCATTTATCATATGCAGTAATTTGTGTAAGTTGCAATGCATAAATATTATTATGGGTGCGAAATCCAAAAGGGTAAGCTTATTTCTTTTCATGGATATGAATCAAGTCTAAGTTGCTCGAACTAGGATGCGGGTGTCCGATACAGGTGCGGATCTAGAGGTCAGATCTTTCATGATCTAATTTTTAAGATTCGGGAATATGGATCCATGTATGGATACGGGTGCGGGGATTCGCCTAAATGTAATTAAAATATCTTAATAGAGTTATAAAACCTAAATTATGAGATATTATGTGGAGAACTTGAGGAGAATCTTGGAAGGAGATTAAAGGAAAATGAGTGACATAGAAATTTCTATATAAAATGTATTCCATTTTCTTCAATTTCACCTTAGCTTTTGTATTGATTATAGAAATCATTAAAACTGTCCAGACTTTCTCCATCGATTTTGGTCAAAGTACCCAAAATTGGTTGACCAAATCGGACATGGATCCCACACCCATGTCGTGTCGACACAGGTGCGGCACCAAAAGTGAAGAGTCCGAGCAACTTGGAATCAAGTCGTCTAAGATGGACTACAAATCTTCAAATTGGTCAGGGAACCATACATGTAATGAACAACATGAATATTGTTATAAACAAGGATGTTAGACTACCCACTCCCTTAGACCCGTATAAACAGACCATCATTTTCTTTTCAACATACTGTCCATATCTCCAAAGAAGAAACTATACTTGAATGCAGATTTGTGAAAATAGAGAAGTGTGCACTTGAGTGGGATCTATTCTTCCTTAGTTCTGAACTGGATGCTGGTTGAGAATTAATTAGCCCAATCTCCTTCTGGAGGTCCATTCTAGCTGATTTGGCAGAATAGCAGATAAAATACAGGTATTAGTGGCTGCAGCAATAACGAAGTGGCTTTTAACATAGTTAGTATGTTTATTGCAGGAATCATAAAAGTGGTGCTGAGTGTGAGGTATCTTTCTTAGTTGATGAAGAAACTGATAGCGATAATGTGTCCTAGGCACCACTAACCCATTGATGTTCTGATTTAGATGCTGCTAATGTTTGTTGCATGGCCATGGCCGTAAAAATTCTTATAGTCCAAGGATTCTCTACTCTGGCATAATATCCTCCCTAATTTATTTTCTTTGACATGCAAAAACAATTCATTGGTTTCCCCTTGAGGAGCTTGCTCTTGCTTTTGTAGACTTTGAACTTTCATGTTATGTTCTTGGTGCAGCAATTCCTGGAACATATCTAATGAGTTCATAATCTCCTTTATCTGTCACTACAGGTGTATCTCCAGACCGGGAATCTGTGGAGTCTGGCGCAAAAAAATCCAGTATATCTTCAGGTGGCAGGGTTCATGATCGGAAAGAGTTTCTCCATAGGTTTGTAGATAGTGAAAGCCTGACCGAAAACCTTAAAACGTGGTATGAAGAAACAATAGAAAATTCAACTCATAAGGAACCCTCATTTGATGTCCCTTTTGAGTTGATAGATCTTCAAAAGTTCGATTATGCTTTGGGAGGAGTTCCATTTCAGCAGCTGATTCGTATGCCTAGTGCTGTTTATGCCTCGACTTCTGGTGCTGCGGAAGCAACTGCTTATCTTGCTCTGGAGGATTTTTTACATGCAAGTGTGAAAGGTTTGTGGGAGGCATTTTGGGGTCAGGATGAAACTTTGCCTTTCTATGTTTCTTGTGTCTATAATTCAAACCTGAGATTTTATCAGGCTGAGAAAGCCATTTCGAAAGGGAGGCTAGGAGGTCTTTGTGCCACAGCTGTAATGCTAAAAAACCCAAGGCATCCACAAGGGAAGTGGGATGATATTCTGGAACTTGCTATTCTAAGGTCTGATATTGGAAACCTTGCTACAGAAGAGAATGACTGTAAACCTTGTCTCTCAATTTTAGGCGAAGCTTTATTCTTTGCTCTAAGAGTATTGGTTGCAAGAAGCATCAGCAGATCCAATATTCCTCTCAGTTTGAATTCAGTTTTTGTTCTTTTAGTTGACACTCAATATGGTGGAGTCCTAAAAGTTGAAGGAGATATACGCAAGTTGGAAATGGATTTGAATGATGTATATGGTTGTGCTGCTGAATGGATAAAGAATAATGCTTTAATTACCATTTCTCCCATCGATAGGATCTGGAACAAGCTTGGAAATGCTAATTGGGGGGATATTGGGGCTTTACAGGCACTTTATGCGACCTTCCACTCAATCACACAATATGCTGGAATGTCAAAGAATTCAATTGAAGATTTGGCTGCGGACCACAGTGCTCGGCTTCAGGCAAGAAGAATTGAAAGACAATTGGGGGATAGCTGGGTGAATGGAAATGGTTTGTTTCGCTACCAGCAGCGTAGTGCTTCACCTGAAATTGTTGAAGTACATGAAGAGTCCTTCAGGTTAGAACCTGACAAGTCCATGAAGCTGGAAATCGGTTCTGTTGTGCTGATAGAAGATTCAAACTGGAAGAAGGATTATCAGATAAATGAAGTCCTAACAGATGGAGAAATTCCATATTATATTGCATCTTCTGTCGAAGATCCTGGTACGACTTCATTTTTATATGTTGGTTCACATCCTTCTCTGCTGGAACCAGCGTGGGAAGATATGAAGCTGTGGTATCAAGTTCAGAGGCAGACAAAGGTATTGGGTGTTATGAAGCAAAAGGAGTTGTCTAGCAAGTATCTACCTCAGTTGAATGCATCTGGGCGGATAATTCACCCTGGCCAATGCAGGAGACCAAGCTCGGGCAGTAACTGTGATCGTCAATGGTGTGGAACTCCAGTTTTAGTGACTAGTCCAGTGGGCAGAACAGTTGCTGATTTGGTGAGACTTGGCCAATTTGGTTGTGATGAGGCTATTAGATGTTGCCATGACTGCTTATCTGCCCTTTCTGCTGCTGCCTCAGCTGGCATTCGGCACGGCGATATCAGACCTGAGAATGTTATTTTTGTTAATTCTGGTGTGAGGCAGCCTTATTTCGTTCTCATTGGTTGGGGACATGCTATTTTAGAAGAGAGGGATCGTCCTGCAATGAATTTACATTTCTCCTCTACCTATGCCCTTCAAGAAGGGAAACTGTGCTCAGCCTCTGATGCAGAGAGTCTGGTGTACATGCTTTACTTCTCTTCTGGTAGTAACATGCCTAATTTGGATTCGGTTGAAGGGGCACTGCAGTGGAGAGAAACCTCTTGGTCAAAAAGGTTGATCCAACAGAAGCTAGGAGATATTTCTGCTGTCTTGAAAGCATTCGCAGATTATGTTGACAGCCTCTGTGGAACGCCATATCCGATGAATTTTGATATCTGGCTCACAAGGTTAAAGAGACATATTCCCGTGGAAGATCATGGAAAGCAGATTGATACCTTGAGTTAGAGATTTTGTTTTCAGCTATGGAAGCCTTGCAGCCGAATACTTTGTGGCTCTTGACAGTCTTTCAAGATCTCCATGAGTATAGGAAGATGGATCCCTTCAATTAGTAGGTCCTCAATGCTGGGCAGGAGTTCACGTAGGCGTCTACCAACTTGAACAGTAAATCAACCTGTGCTTCCTGCATCTTTCAGAAACTTGAAGTTTAACAGTTAATGGCCCCTGGAGCATGCGGTGCTCATTAGCTATCCAGCTTTTGCATTTGTGAACAGTTACAGAGGTGTTTTTCTTTTTTGCCTTTTGTCAAATGTGATTATTTGTTGTAAAGACAGGAACTTGTTGAGATTTCCCTGAGTGAGATATGTGTGATTGTTTACTTTACAGACTTTTAGGAGTAGGACACTGTTCAGTATATTATTCCTACATCTGTACATGGAATATCAATTTCTGTGCTTCATGAATATTCCTGGTGTAGTTGAATTATGTTGCTTACCGAGTAATTTCTTCGTACGGAAACTTACATGTTGATATCGTTTGGATGACTTGTTCGTTTAGCTCAATGCATTCAACGACATATAAAATAGTTCTTCAAACCACAAAATCAGTAAACTTAAAACTTTATTTCATGATCATTTTTTCCGTTCAACAGTTAACTTTATCTGAAATCTCAAACCATTTCATAATTAGAAAAATACCATCTTAAAACTACCTTGTTTTGCTTTTTATCTCAAATTGTTCATGATGACCCATTAAACGTAAAAATAAAATAAAATAAATCGTCTACTTGTTTAAATTGAAACATCAAACTCACACCCGTAATATTACAACATTATAGAAGCTTAGCTCTGATGACCCAACCGTTAGGAGGCAGTGGCATCCTAATCGAAAGCTCTGATATCGCATTTAAAGATCATAAAGAGTCAAAAAAATTGTAAGTGGCGTTAGTTATTGTGATGCATGTGGCAAACAATATTATCTTAAAAAATTCCAATCATTACTACCTTTGTACGTTTTCAAATAATAATGACAAGAATGAACAACCTTTTTCCTTGATAATGGCAAGTTTTGAAAGAAACTAACTCTATGTTTATCATCATTTCTTGTATCTCTTTGTTTCTCGTAATATATGGTAGGTATGAAAGTGAAATGAAGTATAATCCAACCGACAAGGGGATACCGTTTAACATTCTTTATAGACCAAAGATTACTACAAGAAAATTAACAACAAAAATCAGATTCATCGTTTTAAAATGCAAACTATTACTCTGGATTTTCAAACTTGGGAGTTGTAAAGCTTACAGTTCAGAATTACAAGATACTATAAATCGCTTTCATCATCACAGTGGTGGAAAAATCCCGTTAACATGGTAGAGATAGATCATTCAATAAGAACGAAATAACCAAATCTTATCTGAACCCTTAATCGGCATCCATCTCCTCAAGTGCAGCTTTAGCTGCAGCCTTTGCTTCCTCTAAAAGATTATCAGGAACCTACAAATAAGAACATCAGTATTTTAGAGTAACATTTGATACTAACTCCTTTGTGTCAGTCAAACTACCCTTAAAAAAATGGAAGAATAAAACGGAATACGTGACTTTATAGAAGGAAAATTTAACTTAGAAGGATACTGATTTACCTTCTGATGTTGGCGGTTAGACTCATCACATACCCAGCTCATTTCAAGTTCAAATGCCTTGTCCTTTGCCTCATCATGTACTCCGTAAATTCTGCTTGCAAACAAAACATGTTGTCAAAGCACTGAAGGAGAAAGTATTTTACCACTAAGCATTGAACCAAAAAAATTTGAACGACACACTGAAGAGTTAAATTCTAGTAGTTGATGGAATCAGCAAAAACCCTTTAGGATGGTCAACCCATCTCCAAGAATGACTCTCATATGGACTACAGTTCTTCAAACGAAGTTTATTGTATAGACATTGTTCTACTTGAGGAAACATGCAGAAAGCATAAATTGATGCCTTAATCTTTTGAAAATATAAACCACAGATACCAGAAATAAAAACACGTCTTCCAGACTACGAGATGGAATACAAATACGATTTCAGGCAGAACTAAGATTATTCTACATAGATCACAATGACACATTTTCATATCAAAGCTAAAGCGGTGGAACCACAGGGGAATATATACAGTAATCGAAGGTCAAAGAGCAACAAACATGCTTAAGCTAACTTGATTTGCAGGTAGTTCTCAGTGTCAAAAGACATAAATAATCATCTGTTGACAATCAGATCAAGTTGATAAATACAATAATGTTGCAAATGATGAAGTTCAATTGGAACAATTACTTACATTTTAGCTACCTCAATAATCCCTTGTCGACAGGTCATTTCAGATAACTTTAACTTCTCAATTTCTCTGCATATCACATAAGTATTATGTCACATAGCATAAAGAAAATTTAGTGCAAAGGAAGCCAAAAGGATAACAAATTAAAATGCTAGATTACATATAAGGGAACACTTGCTTGGATGACCTTATCACCATTTTTACTTCTCGACTCGGACTGCATAATGAACTACTCCCTATGCCCTGGGTTATTACACGTATGCCTATACCACTAGATCATCCCCGTAGGACTGATTAAATGCATGTCTTTTATGCAGAGTAGACTAGTACAGTGTGAAAGCTTATGGCATCAATCAAAAGATGTTGGAGGTAAATCACCATCTCGAACTTTCATGCCAGAGAGAAGAATATAAGACAATCGGCTTGTCCTTGCTGTAGCAGTTGATAATTCAATCCACACAATTTGTTTGTAGAAGTCAAATCTCAATCAAGATCTAAATAAGCTAACTAATGGTGTAACTCACACTTACTGACACACTTGAATAGTTTGGATATGTGCTGTCAATTGTCATTGACAATAATATGCTGGATTTCTATTTTTGAAAACCGCAGACCTATTGGCAAAGTTGGAGAATAAAAACCCAACCACCACACCATGGATTGTAGGAAAAACATATCAATGTACTAAAGTGTTTTGTGTTGAAGTGTAGGAATATCATTCTACATTACCTACTATATGAATGTGATTTACAGTTCTTGAGTTATTAGTAATTTAATTTTGAGAATTAACAGTCAACACAAATCTCATCAGTCTTCACAAGAAATATATGAAGATTTGAATCTGGAAGTTCAGATGTCGAGAACAGAACTACACACTTACGTTTTAGCAGCTTGCCTTCCCTTTCCAATAGCAGCACCGAAGTACCTCTACAACATATGCAAAGTATATTCACATATTAAATAAATAAAATGTAATAGGACCAGATCATAGCAAGGAAATAAAACATAAACTGTTTTTTATTTTTGGGGATAACTGATAAGTAGAAAATAAATCATAAATTGTTATCGGAATTTAAGAGTAGAGTCCAGTGGAACAAATATCTCTTGTAATTGAGAAAACGATTCAACTCACATAGGAGACACCAGAAGGCTCAACCACGTATAGTTGAGGTCCATCTCTATCATACCCTCCAAGAATCACCCCACATCCAAAAGGCCTGTAGAAAGTACACCAAAAGTTTCACATATATGCAAAAAAAAAGAACATCAAAAAAGAAAATTCTTTGATAAGTTTTACAAATAAAATAATCGTCAATATACAAACGGCTGTACATAATCCTACAAACCTGAGCCACCAATACAGTGTGCATAAATGCACATAACTAGCAACACGCTCTGCAAGTTCTTTCACTGGAATTGGCTCACCATATACACTGCAAATTGCAGAACCACCAACAAGACACAGAAAATTAGGGGTGACCAAGAAGAAACAAGCTCGCTAGAAAAAAAGGTATTTTTCAGCACTATACAATATTTTATGTTGAGACATAAAGAACCTTTTACACAAAAAACACATTGCAGAGCATCCCATAAAAGCCAAGAGCACTTTGTGAGGAGGGATATTGTTATACAGTGAGTTAGAGCCTGTTTGGATTGACTTAGTTTTGTAACTGGGAATTGAAAATCTCCAGATGTTACTCCTAACTACAAAAAGCTAGCCCAAGAAGTGACCTTACCATTCAAAGCCATCACACAATGCACAGACATTTCGTTAGGTTTTTATTCTATTTGACGCTTATTGGATGTTACTCTATGTAATTAGCACTATTGAGATACCATAGACACATCAAATACTTTCATTTGTAATTCAATTATATGCATATAGTGATTCAACAACATAATTGATGATTCCGTTCATTGATTGAAGTTATGAACGGGAAATAAACTTAGTTTCTTTAGATTTTGTACATGATCATCATTAAGTTATTTCACAATGAATAAGTACGCCCATGAATGTTATATGTTGGAGAACCAGAGGGCAAAACAAAATTCACACACAGAGATGTAAGTACATATATTTATATTGTTTACAGACACGGTGGCTTTAAGCAAACCTTTCAAAGCTGGTTGCTTCAGACTTGGCTCGGGAAACAATCTGCCTCCCATCTGCAGCCAAACCTGCAACAGCCTGTATATAAAGAATAAAGCAGTATGGAGAAAGTGAATCACCATTCAAGAATGACGGAATGTGGCTACCGCTTCCACCAACACATGTGCTAGGTAACTTTATTTATCAACGCTATCTACGAAGGGCATTGAGAGATGGAAAGAAATCACCTAGCATTTTTTGCCTCAACTAGGATATGAACCTAATTTTGACTATGATTTATGTACCTCAATCCAGAAAGTTTTTTTAGGAATTAAAAAACTCATTATAAGGAAGACAAATAAAGACAAGCCCTAAAGATGTCACTCACCCCCACCTACCACCCCCCACCCACCCAAAAAAGAAGTATTACCAAAACTCAAAGTATCTAGATGCTAATCAGAAGCACCATAAACAAACACAATGATAAACTATACAGAGGAGCAATACTTAGAGCCTCGAGGAACCACATGATTCTCCTGCCTCTAATCATTGCTCAATTATACCACATCTCTGCCATTCTTGTTTATGTATATGAAAGATGGCAAAGATCCTCTAGGAAAAATACCAAACTTCTATAACCTCAAGGATAAAAGAGCCAGCTTTTATACAAAGATCACACAAGTCTACCACTCCATCTAAAGACATGCAACAGCTACCACTGAAAACCTAAGTAATTACAAAAACTTAGTGATAATTTCTGTAGACATGCAACAGCTAAACAAGTCTACTACTCCATCTAAGAATCACAATTTTGATAAATTCTGTCAATAGTGCCATTTCTAGACAACACGTGAAGCAATTGATTTTCCATAAAAACTGAAGCAATTTTACTTTGTGATTTACTTTCAAATATAGATAAGAACTGAAAAGGAGAACAAACTGACCCCTTCTAAAGTTTTTCCATTTATTTACCTCTCAACATCTCTTAACTAAAAGTTCTCTAGTTTATCATAGTTTATTTTGACTTTATTTGCAATTTCATACTGCTTCTGTGACCTTAGTTACTTTAAAGCTCTGAATTTCTTCTTCTTCTTCTTTTTTTCTTACATTAGTAAAGCTCTGAACTTTCTTATGTTGAAGGTTCAATGCAAGCACCTCAATATGCACATCATTAAAAATTACTTTTACAAACTCAGTTACTTTAAAGCTCCAAACTTTCTTATGATGAGGCTTGGAGTTTACTTATATGAACCTTCCCTGCTGAGAAGGGAGATCACAGAACTTGATAATAAAGAAAGCTTTCTCAAACTTCGATTCCCAAGAAGATACAGATATAAAGCTCACAACTTTTCAGTTTGATATTTGAGATAACTAAATCAGAACTATTTGCCAACCCAAAATAATGCTCCTCTAATTTAATTATTCAAAATAACTCCTATCAGATGGTACTAGAACCTAGAAACTGAGCTGGCACTAAAATCAGGAGTCAATCCACTTTGCCTCAATCCAAACTAATTAGACTCCCCTATATGAATACTTTGTATTTAACTGCCACTATGAACTAATCCAAAGCTCAGATAAAGTTGAAAAGCTATGGTAGATTGACAGCCAGCAAAACATTAATGATAGTATGATACATCCTCTAAACACTGAACGGAAACATACCATGCCAGAATGGCGATGAACAGAATGAATTCGACGATTTGATCCCGGCAACATCATTTTGGAGGCTATTAGCTTCTCCACTCCCTATAATCCAATTCTCAAATCCATATAAAAAAACCCTAACTTTAATACAGAAAAAAGAAACAGATAAATTCCAATCGACAAAAAGGTAATAGGATCAAACCAAGACGATTCCATCCTTGCATTTGATTCCAACAACAGTACCACTGTTATCGACTGCTTTTCCGGCGTATTCGATCTGAAATACTCTGCCGTCCGGCGAGAATGTCGTCACCGATAGATCATATCCGGTTCCTATGCTACTCATATTTGCCTTTATTCTTCTCTACTACAGCTTCAGTTGAGCTCAAAGTTTTGTGTTTTGCAGCTCTCGGAGTTTTCTTTGTTCTCAAGACACACTAGAGACGCAAAACTTTGTTTTTAATTAATTTTAGCCTTGATCAAAAAAGCAAAAATGATCAAATTATTAACAAGGAATATAATTCTATTATTTTATTTTATTTAATTACATTGTATTTTGAGTTGACGTCAAAAAACAAATCTACTTTTTTTTCCCCTCAAATTTTACATCACAACTATTCATTACTATTATTTTTTCCTACTTAAACCATCATCTATGTATTAAAACACGTTTCAAGAATGACTAGGTCAACTATTTTTTTTCCTACTTGATCTATAAACGTCTACATTTTTACTTGAATAATAATGAAACAGTCTATAAATGGAATGTGAAACTTGTTAGAAAGTGATAATTTGGACGTGAACATAAGTCAATTTATGTAGGAAACTCTAGTGATATATCAACAATTCATTACATCAAATAAATGACATCTGATCATTAATTTTTTTTTAATGTTATTATTGTTTTTGTTTTTCGATTATTGGTATATTCTAATTTTTATGTTTCAAACCACAACTTACTCTTTAGAAGTTAGTAGTTTTTTCTTTCTTTCTTTCTTTCTTTTTGAAGCATAGTTTCACACCAAAAGGTCTTTGTGTCAATTGTGAGGTTAGCTTCATCTTTGCAACAACTCCTGATGAAAGGATTCTTTACATTTTCAACATCTCCTGATGAAAGCAATAGTAACCATTTCATTAAAGTTCACAACTAATGGCTGTGCTGGTGATGAGGCTGAATTTTCGCAGTTTGCAGAAGAAACAGGTAACAATTTTCTGTCTGTAAATTGTATAAACGATTTAAGAGCTTCTCTAAAACAACGTACCAAGTGTAATCCCACAATTTAAGAGCTTCTGTTATCTGTCGAATGTCTGCAATTTCACTACTCTTGTTCATGGTCGTCTAATATAAGAGTGTGCTTTGTTTTTTGGAAAATTTATCATGGAATTAGCTTATGCTACAGTTGCAGCTTCAGCTGCAAATCTCTCAATAAGTTTGATGTGTATATAGTTTATTTGCGGGCAGATCATTATGTTCATTCTTTTTGTACAAAAGAGCTAAAGGAGAACTTGCAAGGTTGTGGGAAGCGCGGAAGATGTTTTGTCAAGTGCATGTTGGCCCTCTGAGTCTTGACTCGTCAAAGAAGAAAACCTTCATCAATTGAAGAATGCCTAATAAATGAGACCAGTGAAGATGAAAACTTTTAATGATGTACTCACAAGAAATTCATTCTAGATAATACAAGGGAGTGTCCTCTATGCAGGAAACTGTTTCTTGAATACACTATATAACTTACAACAATGAACATGGACCTCTATGTGAAAACAAAACAATCGAGATTCTGTTTCTCGTGAAAAGGAAATTAGTAGGTAAGTTGTGGTTCAAACTCTGCAAAATCAACTGAACCTGACTCAATAGGTTTCATGAGATACGCAGCCAATAACTCAGAAGCCAAAGCTGCAATCAGAGGGATCTTTTTGAAATTCTTCACCAGTGGAATCTCATCACTCTCACTAACAGCAATTAGTTTGGTGTTAATCTCCACCATCCTGTCCAACTTCCTCTTGAATTCTGGGTTCTCAACATCAAGGACAGCAGGGAAAATCCTTGCAGTTGTGCGGTTTGTCTGCACAAGATAAGATTTTTAGAAAGGTTAGTGAAGCAAATAAATTTATGTCAGGAACCAATAGTTTAACAATTTACAAGGTACAACAGCAGGTACTACTTAACGTGGACAAGGTACATATACAAATGTGCGGATAATTTGTGTTAGTAACATCCAAAAAGTGTCTCTCTCTCCACAGGTGAACAGGGTATTCAAAAAAATTTGTAAGAACATATGTTCATTAGGCAGGCTAATGAAAACGGAAATCTCGTTCAATTTTGTTATAATGAAATGCGATTGAAATCGAATTGCAGTATCTATGGCATGCTAATCAAACAACGGTAAAGGAAGAGTAAGATACAGCCAATTGATCACCTCAATGATGACATGCATGTCAAATTCTTTGGTGTTAAGTCCAATGCCTTCGTAAAAATCTGTTCTTTGGCAATCATTCAAGTACATTGTGACATAAACCTGCATTTTGGTAAGCACAAGTAAGATTATTATCAAAACTATGTAGAAGGCAATGTAAAGAGCCTTTTCAAGTTGGCTTATCATAATGAAAGGATACTTCAAATGCAGGTGGTTAATTACCGAAAGGCAGAAGAAGCGAGACCACAGCTTTGCCTTCCAGTCATTGAGAAACTGAGGCTGTGCTTTCATCAAAGCAGAGAAGAAATCACCATGGCGGTTCTCATCTTGGCACCAGTTCTCGAAGTATTTGAAAATCGGATAACATATGAACTCAGGATTGGTCTTGAGATGCCTGTATATGGTAATGTACCTCCAGTACCCAATTTTCTCAGACAAGTAAGTTGCATAGAAGATGAACTTTGGTTTGAAGAAAGTGTATTTTCTTGCTTTGGTCAAGAACCCCAAGTCCAACGCCAAATTGAAGTCAGATAAACCCTTGTTCAAAAACCTGCAAAATTCCAACCAGCCAAACCTTCTCAATACTCGTAAAGTCTAAGTGATTTTCCCTTAGGGAAATGCATGTCTGATCAAGCATGCCCAAAGAGAGTAAAATATGAGCTTACCCGGCGTGGCGAGCTTCATCCCTAGACATGAGGGAGAAAATCTCTGCAACAACAGGATTAGTTTTCTGCAGACATAATTCAAATGTTAGTTGGTGGTAGTAACAAAAGTGTAACTATTCAACATTCAAAAATTTATCGAACTATCCACCTTTCTAAACTTTTATGACCATGATTTAAGTCTCGATTGTGAATATTTAACACAACACTATAGAAGTAAACTTTGTCATTAGAGTAAAAAGCACAAACATTTTGTTCCTTTTTCTTTATTACTTCTACGTTTCAATTTGTTTGTCTGGTTTTTTCACTTAAATTTTTTGAATCTCGTGGTCTTAAACTAAAGATACCTAGGAAAACACATTTTTTAAAAGCGGACTAAAAATGGCTACACAGCAATATAATCAAACTATAACTTATAAGTGGCTGCACAGCACTATAATCTACAAATTAGAAAAAGATTCAAACTTACTTCATAGAAGCCAAATATAACCTAGACAAGCTTAGCTCAAATAAACAAAATTACTACTATCAGATTTTCACAAAAGGTAAAACAGAAAAACTATAACAAGCTGGATAATAAAAATCTAATAGCACACTCACTAAGCTAATTCATCAGATAGCTTAATTAATTACGCTAATTTCAGAAGAAGAAATTCTCAATAAATACATACCTTGAGCCTCCTTCCAAGTTCCTTGTAGAGAAGAAAACCAGAGAACTCAGCAGTGCAAGACCTCTCCAAGAATTCAACAAAGATTTGCCTTAGAGGTCCCTGCATTTTATCAGCAGCTTCTTTAAACTCCTTGTTCCTAACAAAATGAGTCTGGTTGTAATCAGTTTTGAATTCCTGCAAAAGGGCTTCAAACTCAGCCTCATTCAGGTTCTTGTTGATCTCAGTGTTGAAAAGGGTCTCCATTTCATCAAAATCAGTAGTGTAAAATCTTGGTGTCAAAAGGGACTCTTTGATTCCTTGTTTCTGAGGTTTCTTGGAGGGTTTTGAAGTTGGTGGGGTGGTGGTGGCGGCTGACATTCTAACTGTGAACGGCAGTCTGCGGCTGCTCAGCCGTGCAGTGGTGGTGTTAATGGTGTTGAATTTGGTTATGGGTTTTACTAAAGCCATTTCTGCTGCCATTTTTTCCAACTACTTCAGCAGAAAGATTGGTTCTTTGAAGCTAAGGGGAATTGGGATATGAAGGGTGGAGAAGGGATATATGAATTTTAGATGACAGTGATGGAATCTAATCTCATCCAATGAAATCTTGTGGGTTAAGTGGGTTTCTGACACGTGGCATGTTATGATGGGTCAGCTTGATTACATGGTAGCTTTGTAAAGTTTGTATCTTTGTGTCATTTGGGAAGTAGTAGTAATTGTGGTCTATGTTTCTCCATGTAGATTTCTCAAGATATCAACCTAATATTAATGGTTGAAATTCTTTTTTTTTGTTAAAAATGTATATGAGTTTCTTTCACGTGGTCTATTTGATTGGTTAATACTCACCACAGGTGTGTCCACGGATTCGACAAAATTCAATAGCTAAACTATAATTAGTAAAACTCAAAGTCTTAACCCAGCCTCCACTTTGAGCCCTATGTTAGCTAATTTAAGAGAGAGACTATTTTCTTTGCAAATTGGTGAAAGATACTATAACAATTTTTAGTTTTTCTGTCATCACTTGTAGTAACTTTCCACCCTTAGTTATTGTTTGTTCTTATCTTACTTTGGTTCCATAGCTAAACTAGTCCATATGGATTAAATTTTATACCAAAAACAAAAGGGAGAAGAATACTCAATAGTCAGTTGGAAATTTCTTTGGTATTTATCAAGAGACCAATTCAAAAAAGAAAATTAAACAAACCATACCAATAGAAAACAAATCAGGGATAAGAAGCTGCAAAATCAAATTTACAGAAAACAATCTATCTATTTGTTTCTCCAATAAATTTTCTATCACCCAGAAGCTTCACATGATACACAAACTATGCACACTGACTTTGTAAGAGAATGAAAAAAAGACTTGGATGGAATTGGACAAAAGGATGAACAAAGAAAGGAGCTACTCATCAATCTATCTACAATTTTGAACAACAGGATCTGCTCTCATCTCAAGCAAGACCCTGCATTATTTCAAACACAATTTTTCCATATGTTGCTGATCTTGTACGTGATAATTTGAAAAGCCGTGACTCTTGGTCAAGCGTTCCCATGCTGCCACAAGGTAAACACAAAAGACTCAAGGGAGAGTTCCTTATAATGTGTATGCTATACCTGAAACAAAATTGGTAATGTCATTTTGATTAAACAACAAAAGATCCAGCAGTCTCTGCTGACAACTTTTACTGTTGAAGAACCTAAATCAGAAAAGAGGAAATGATAGCACAATAATGCCATTAAACTTTAAATAACTAAAGGAGCCGAGGCGAAAGATCATTTAATGAAAAATTCCCACAATGTACTAAAACACATTATTCTTCCAACATGCTCAATCACATTACAGTATAGTAGTATGCAGCTATGCGCAGTATCTAAGGGGGCAAGAGGACTGCTCTCTCTCTCTCGTCTCCCGTGCATATGTAAAAAGATGGATATAAACCTCATTGTTCATATTAAAGAAACCAGGAAAATGGGCTCAGTCCATTTTGTTTGTCAAGTTTCAGAAGAAGGAATAACTTTGTCTATTTGGATCTTGATCAGCCAACAAAACCACTTATTGGGTAATACCAGAGAACCGCTAATACGGTTTGAAAGTTCCATTAGTTGCACTTCCCTAACCATTCCTGAACCTTCTAGTTGAGCATGCATCTTGAAGTATAACATCAATGAGCCAAATGCTCTTATGAAATCAGGGGAAATTTTAATTCCCTTGAAAACTGCACCACACAGATAGGGTAAAAATATTATTATTTTTTTGTGCATATGTAGAAGTTTTTGAATCCCCTTCCCTTGACTTAAGAGAAGTACAAGTTCAAGTTCCAAGAGCAGCATTTTTTTTTAATCATTTATCGGATTTCTTGGCTCCGCCACTGCCTGGTATGTGTGTCTAATTCATAGTGTGGTTCGTGTTATCAACCACATTCAAGAGAGTAACAAACTAACAATGTATATGGTCCTAGTATTACAGTGTATAAAACTAGAGTACTGACAGACTTAAAGAAAATAAGCAGTGAAAGAAAATGAAAATTGATACCTTTGGGCTACGATCATTTATTGGTGTCATATACAGAGCCGAGCTACTTACTTCTTCCGAGTTCTCTTCTACATTAGATGCACTTCCTAGAGTGGAGCTCTTTACACTTTCTTTTTCTTGTTCAAGTGAAAACCAAAAAGGTTCATAATCAGTTCTCCCACCTTCATCCTTGTTTTTGAAATTTTTCTTCATGCTATTGCCATTCATATTCTGCGAAATTTCTGCCTGTGCAGTTCCTTTATCTTCTGCAAAGTTATCTCCCACCTCAATATCAATTGTCTCCTTTAAGCTGGTGATGCTCCGCATATGCTCACCAGAATCAGAATAAGCATCTCTGGTCCATTCCCTGCTTTTTAAAGTATCATCTATCTCCTCATATTCCAAATTCCGCAAAATTTCAGGAAGTGAAAGTCCACTATCCTCTGGAAACATTGTTCCCATCTCAATATCTATCTTCTCTTTTGAGCTATTGATATTTCCCACAAAGTTGGAAGTTGCTGGCTCAACCATTACAATGTCATTTTCTTTAAAAACTGCTCGAAAATTATTTAAGGAAGGTGGGATCTTGGAAAAGAAAACTTCTCTGATATTTTCAATTGTCCCCCTATTATAGGGATTCTCCTTCTTATCATATCGATACCTAAAGTTCTCGTAAGTAGTCTGCAAGAAACAACAAAAATGGGGAACAGAAAAAAAATATGGTTATGTAAGAATATGAAGCAACACATCAGAGTTAAATTTCAAGCAGGTAAATATAGAGAACTGTAAGCGAACATTTAATCATAGGTGCATATCTTAATGCATCTATATAGGGGGACAAGGGGAGTTGGGGAAGAGGAATCAAAACTAGGGGAAACGAGATTTGAACTTCAGATGATGCAGGCCATAATGGATCTTAATTGGCTTTTCAGAATAATATGGACAGCAAGGCAGAAGGAACATTAGTAATGAGCCTCATGAGTGAAGTTTAAAATTAGTCCACGGAACAACTCAATATATGCAGTATGTTATACAAATCACCGAGAGTATTAGAGCCACTACACTGGGATTTCTCATAATTGTCAATGCATTTTTTAGATTATTGTCTGCAGAGTAAGAAAAATAACGGAAGTGGATCCTTAGTAAACTTCCCTGACCTTTTCTGATGGGGGAGTGGGATTTATCTAATAAATTCTATTATAACATCAGATCCATCTCACAGGCTGATACTTGAGAACTCAATCCTTGGAAGTCAACATTCAAAGAAACAAGACTTTGAAGAACAACAGGAGTAAGAAAGTTGAGAGGAAACGCTGGTTCCAATTAAACATCAAAATAAACTTTAAGTTGTCAGTAATAATAGATGTCATCACAAATTATTACTCTAAGTGCTTTTACATATAATTACTCTTAAGTATTTGAAGATGCCAGCAGGTTCACTTTCACACATTATTATTCATTTACTCTAAAGGACCAGATATCTAAAGTTTGTCTAGAAAATCCTCCATAAAATCCTGAAAGAAAGAAGATCACACAAAGAACTAATAAACAGATTAAGTGTGACACAAAAGGACAACCTACCAAGAATTTTCTACATAGAAAAAGAAAGAAAACAACAAGGACTATGATCCAGAGGTTGCATCTCAAAACAAAGCACAGAAATCCAGAAAGATGTTTTAAATGGACAACAAATAAAAGTTGGTTCTTATGTGTTCTAATATCCTAGCAGCTAGATATTCCTGCCAGCTTAGAATAGTTAATACTGCAGGGTATATTTTAACTATGAACCAGGCACACGTATACAATATACTCCAATGAAAACCGTAAGACATGATTCACCATAGAAAATATGCAATTTTAAGTTGGACTTCCTAAATATGCCAATTTATCATAAAACAACTCATATTGCAGATGACATTACAGAAGAACCATAATTAATTTTGCTAGTATACATCTTAGTTAGAGATGTCACCTGGTTAGTGCTAATCAGGTAAAAATGGAAAATAGCAAGGCCGCCAACAAACCAAACAGCAATGAAGCAGTATATAATGAGAACATCCGACAAGATATCTTGTGAAATAGCTCTCCATAAGTTGCCGCCATGATGAAGGATATTGACCAAGGATATGACAAAGACATATATGCATAATATAGTTGATGTAGATATGAACAAATAGAAGAATCTGTAATTCCGCTGCAACCAAGTGAGAAATAGAAAGTCTCAGCAACTAAAAAAAGGTGTCATGATGTCATAATATCTCATGTAAGGTGATATCCAGCATCCTACTGCCTCTACTTTACGATCCTGAGCAACAGAAGTAACTTCATTTCTCTGAGGACATAATTTGCATGACAAGTTATACGCCACCAAGTGATAGAGCAGAAGATTAGAAGAATCATCCATTTTGTTTGTATTATCAATTAATCATTTACAACAGGAAATGAAAGGAAATCAATCATATTAATATTTCAAGTTATGAGACAAAGAGAACTACATTTAACCCTCTTTATTCTTTCTCCTATTCTTTAACCTCTCCCTCGTACAACCCATACTCTAGCAAAGAATATCGTATTTCTCATGCATTCACTAAGATATAACCATTAGTCTGCATATATTCCTCACCATCAATGATTTGTTCTTTCTCATCCAACAAGATTCTGCAATGAATGGCTTTTAGAATTATACTTCATAGGGCTGATTCACATCTCATGACAAAAACTTATATCAGTTCATATGGCTGATTAGCATTTCATGCCAAACAATTATATGAGTACTCCACTTTTCCATAGTATAATGGCTTTCCCTGATAATCTACGGAAATTATTAAGTGCAACTCCAGAACTAGGTTCTTGGGAAAAAGACTATAGCTGGATGGTGTGGAAAAACTAAATTAACTTTGGCTAGCATGAGCTTTTGCTCTCGCTATGCAGGGATAGAATTGTTTTCATTTCACAATGCTTGCATCATTTCAACTTAGACATAACCATCATCTTGCACACACAAGTAGACTGTTTATTAATTGGTAAAAGGAAACAATCCAAATCTAGTTCAAGTTCGCTTAAAAAAATACATAGTCAGCAATACGTACAAGCCCAATGCACTGACCAACCCAGGGACAGTGGTGATCAAATCTTTGAACACAATTGTTGCAGATCGAACAATGAGAGGAACGAGGAGGCCGGTACAGCAAACATGTATCACAGTACTTGACTTTAACTGTGTGTCCATTCACGATTACATCCTTTGCTCGTGGAAGTTTCAAATGAGGAGTTCTACCGTTGACCCACTCCATGGAAGGGGTATGTATATCAAATGTTTCGTCCGATTCAGGAGGGGTTGTGTTTCGTGGGACAATTCCAGGATCTCTACTAGATGTCAAAAAGAGAAAAACTATATCCTGCACAAGATATTAAAGAATTTGTGAACTGTTTCAATATTCAAGTCAAATCAGTCAGCTATAGATTATAAACTTACACAATTAACTAGAGAAAGTTCATCAGCTTTCTTCTATGTAGGTGATTATTCAATTGATTTTTGTTAAAAAAAAATTTGAACACTTACTTTGAAATGAGAAAGAGAAAAGGAAAGCAGTGAGAAGAGAAAGACAGCTGAAACTAAAAAATTGCATGTGACAGAACAAGTTTTAACCCTATTCATGTAATTTATTGTCTATCGTAGTTATTGCCTTTTGATAACTGTTACAATCCATTATTTATTTTATTTCGGTTAACGCACTATTTTGTTGTTATTTTTTTTTTCTTAATGCTCTGTAATGTTTTCCTTATTAGTTGTCATGTTTTTTTCACTTCCGTATTTTCTTTTTCATAACTGCTTTGAATTGCTGCACTTGAGCCGAAGGTCTTTTGGAAACAAGCCTCACCTTCATGAAGTAGAGGTAAGGTTTGCGTACACTCTACCCTCCCCAAACACCACCTATGGGATTACATTGGGTATGTTGTTGTTGTTGTAGACAGAAAAAGAGAAGGGAACATTATAAGGTACTGACTGTCGTAGGAGCAAAAAGTGTTGTCCTCCTTTGTTTCGCCCCCATCTTTCTATGGGGGATAAAGACTGATCACATCATAAACAATGTTTACTTATTCCCTAAATAAGGTAGTTTCAATTGCCAAAGCAGATCTAATACAGAGTCATTCATTTTTTCATGGTAATGAAACCTTATGATCCTACTGATATATTTCATATTATGTCATCATCATCCTATTTAACACCAAGAATAGACTAAAAGGGGAGAAAGAAGAATGCAGAATCACCCATGTCGACTAATATTAACAATGATAAAGAAACTTCATACCATAATGGTAAGAACTGCTCCAATTACAAGTATAGGATACCAAGGACCAGCATCTTTGTGCTCTTTGATACGATGTCTGATTACACAAGAGACTTTTATACAAAAAGCAAGTGCTGGGCCAGCAATTAAAAGTGTTGATAGAAACAACGATGACACATCCGGACCGAAGATCAATCTTCCTCCCAATAAGAATTTCTGGAAACATTTAACAGCACAAAATGAAGGTAAAAGACATGGAACAGAACGGTCTGAAATTATGCAGACTCTATATTGCAAAGTATTATTACTGTGAATCTAAGAAAAGTTTGACCATATGAAACAAGCAGTTTAACAATATAAAAAAATCCTGCTATATCTTATGAACAAGCAGTATAAGAATATAAGGATATCAGCACCTTCAAGTTCAAACTTGTAGAAAGTACACAGCTTTAAGTGAGAATTGCTACTATCAAGGCCTCAACTTTAACCTCAAATTCATTCTTACATCAGACAGAGCAAAGAGAAGGAAGAGAAAAACAAAAGTCACCAAAATTAGCCAGTCCATGCTGTCTAAACACTTGATTTCAGCAAGAAAACCACATATTCAAATTCAAACATGACTAAAATACTAAGCTAAACACAATCTCTTCAATTCCAAAAAAAAAAACTTACATGGCTCTGACAATATCATACTTATTTTATTTGTTTCACATGAGTCACTGAAAAACATAATAGCAGCAGAATCGTAGAAGAGACACTTACATTACTTCCCTTCCAAACCTGATAAAGCTTCAGAGGTTTATGTTTCTCACGAACCATAACTCTGAAAATTTGGAATGAAACAAAAACAACCCAAAAATTCCAACTTTTCAATCCCAAATAAGAATCAAACTCCTTCTCTTCTCTTCCTATTAAAAAGCTTCCAACAACCCATATAAAGAAAAAAGTCCAAATTTAGAAAAAGATTGTCTTTTTCTCAAAAAAATTCAAGAAAATATGGAATTCCCCAATTCAAAGACTTTAAAGAAATGGGGTTTGGAGAGCAAAAGGGAGAGAAAGAGAGAGTCTTTCTGTTGTTGTTGGGAAGGAAGTGGTGATCAAGAACCAGCTGCCTTTGTTGTTGTTTTTGTCTCAGACGGATTTACCCAGAATGAATTTTTCCCCTATCTCTAATTTTCTCTCTCTCTCCAACAATATTTGTGTAAAATTCTCCAATTTATAATTTAATACTCTACTAGTTATTATCTCGTAAAATTACAAAAACGAATTAATAAATTGTTAGGTGGCATTTGGTACTTCGTCAATGTCTCTAAGACGAGGGAGTTTTCAATAACTTTGGTAACAAATGAAAATGTACGTGGAATATATAGATACAAAAATCTATTTTTATAAATAGATATTATAATTTTTGTGAAAATTAAAGAGTATAATTGCATTTTTTTTTGTTACCGTCCATTCAAAGTTTATCAAGTAATTACTTGATTAATAAATAAGTTAATACATGTAATTACTTATAATTACACTCAAATATAATTCTCACATAAATCGCTTTCTAAACCCACCAATAAATATTAAACATTTTAATCTTTCACAAGTAGCAAATCTAATCACCATTCACCAAAGTATTCAATTTAATAAATTACTATTGTTGATGGTATAGCAAGTGGCAACAAATAACATGAAGCTACATGCATACACATTCAAATTCCTTCAAAATATAAAGACAAGACAGGCTTGAAATAATTACTTTGTAAAGTACAACAACAAATTTAATGATTTTATCACTATCTTGAAAAGGTAGAGAGCTAAATTATTTCCGAGAAGACAATAATATCAATGAGATAATACAATAATAAGTAATAATAAAAATCTAAGAATACGAAAATACAAAAATATATAATACTAATACTCCAAAAGTGGAAAAAGCAATATATCTGACTATCTACTAATCGTCTACTTTAATTCTTGATCTTCACACCTTTCTATCAAGGGTTATTGTCCACCGTGAACTAAAGTGAAAAGTCGTAACATATATTCTTCTTTGATTGGAAGTAACAAAAAATGTTAGTATATGTTAAACTCATTTAAATATTACTATTTTCAAAAAAAAAAAAAAATCCTTCATTTCTCTTTTTTTAATATCATGAAACAAAAAATGGTTTTAAAAAAAAATATTATACAGTCTGGTGGTTGTTGTTTAGGCAAAAAACGTGCAGGCACAGCACAATTTTCATTAGTCTTTGGAATGGAATATACCGATGAAGCATTACTATCTATCACAAAGAGAAACATTCCTCTTTTGGTTGCACAATTCATTTTTATTTTTATTGTTATTATTATTATTATTATTTTTAGATTTTATAGTCATGTGTCCCACTGCTAATTAAGTTGGTGAGGTGATATGCAATGTACAAAAAAGTTGGAGGAAAAAAAGATTTGTTGTACTAGAAAAGAAGTATTATATTTGTTGACCCCTTTAACAATCATTATTGCTGGGACACTCGATAACCTCAAAAATAATTATAATTATTCGTGCATATATCTTGAAGAACTATTTTATACTTTTGAAAGGAGCCCTCAAACATCTCTATTGGGTTGGGGCATTTGGTTGTCGTGTCCTTTAGGCCCTTGAGTTCGATCGAGTCTTGGTTACTATAACTTTAACCAAACTTTCAAATTTTGAGTCTGTCTCTGTTTATGAGGCAAATAAGTTGCATTTATCAAAAGAGTAGGTGGAAGTAACATATTTACAGGAGGACAAAAGTCCAAATGATATAGCCTCTTAAAAATTAACAAACTGTATATAGATAGATCCATAGATAGATAGAGAGGGTAAACTGTTAAATCTAAGCTAAAACAAAACTGAAGAAAAGGAGACAAGTTGTAAAGAAGATAAAATTATATTATACTGTACAAGAGATCAGTAGCCTCATTTAGCTCCATTTCCCACTCTATATTTCATTTTTATGTACCAAAGACTTTCCAAAAGAGTTGCTGTAATTTGAAGACATAAAAAGAAACCAACTACTCTTTTCAGCCTTTGCAAAATCGACATCTGATGATCCCATCCAACATAATGTATGTCGATAAGCATCGCTCATTTGCTTGACCTGTCAAAACATATAATATAACATAACATGGAAAATCGGTCCCTTGGCCGTATAGTGAAATGTTGTTATAGGCTGTATCTGGTGTTGCATCAATGCAGAGAAATGATAAAAGCAGTACTGTAAGATTTGTCTAAAAATGCATAGTATTTGGTGTTTTCATCAATAAAAAGCAATGATCTCAGTAAAATGTACCACTATAAGACTTGTTTATTCATGCTTTTGTCCATCAGTAAGATTTACTGATGAAATTCTATATTAGTACTCTATACCAGTGGCGTTTTGTACAGATATTTTTGGTTGCTATAAATAGTGAAGTTATGTTATAGAGAACATATAATAATATAACATAACATGAAAATCGGTTACAGAGAAAACTTGGTTGTTATAGTGAAATGGTGTTACAGAGGACAGTTGTTATAGAGAGGTATGACTTTATAAGAAAAAACTACCTTTTATCTATGAAGAACTGCTATGAAGATCCACGGTTGCTGTCTTCTTCAGTTCTGCCATCTTCGACTGTTCTTTGTTCATTTGAATGTGTTGACTCTGCATCTTGATCATCAGGAAAGAAAAGAGGATCAAAATTTGCATTATCGTTTCTCGTCTTCTTCAAAGATTCATCAATGCCACCATAATCCACTTGGAAAGTAGCATCCTTCCCGAGTATGCCTCCCATCTCTAAATCAAACTTCCCTTTAGAGTTGATTGAACCAAATCTGTGACTCATGGACATGGATCTCATACTTGCATCGTCTTCTTCAATCACCCATTCGCGAAAGTTGACCAATGAAACCGGGACCTTAGAGCATAAGATTTCCCTGAGATTCTTCAAAATGCCACGGCTGTATGGGTTCTCTTTCTTTTCATAACGATATCTGAAGTTTTCATACGTTGTCTGCAATAACATGTGCAAATACAAATAAGTCACAAACATGTCTGCTGTTTTTATTAGTTTTACTCTGATGTTCCTTGTGTATTTTGAGTACTTCCTTTGAGCTGAGAGTCTATCAGAAATAAGTCTCGTACATCCTACCCTCCCCAGACCCCACTTGTGGGATTACATTGGGTGTGTTCATTTGTTGTTTCTTATGTGTTCTCAACAGTTGGATTTCGCTAAGAAAACTAATATTTGGATGCTGGGACATTTCAGTTAGTGCAGAGGGCACAGCCCGACTTTTGTCCCAAAGTTGAAAACTAAGTTGCACCTCAAAGCAAGACAAAAAGAAAAGGAGAGATGCATGCATATCTATTGAAACCAAAATAGGTGAGAAGGGAACTTGTAATAGGTGCATTTTTGTGAAAAAACAAGACCAAAGGGACAAAAGAATCATATGAGATTGCACTGATCCACATGAATTAAGATGTTATGTTATAGAGATACAGAAACTACGATTAAAGGGCGAGAAAGTTACCTGGTTTGTTGACATTAGGTAAAAATGGAAGACGCTTAGCCCTCCGACAAACCATACAGCTATGAAGCAATAGCATATCAAAACCACAGATACAACATCCGTTGACATGGCATGCAAAAAGCTCCCTGGTTGTCCAAGAAGGTTCAGCAGTGAAAATGTGAACACATATATGCACAAAGTTGTTGTTGATGTTATGAAAAGGAAAAAGCATCGATAATTACGCTGCAACACAAGGGGAAAAAGTGTAAATGAACTTTTAATGAAGTAAAGACAGGAGCTTTCAAACTACAAAGATAAATATCGAATATTAAGAATTAAACAGATGACTTACAACTCCAATACACTGACCCACCCATGGACAGTGGTGATCAAATCTCTGAACACAGTTGTTACAAATCGAGCAATGAGAAGCACGTGGTGGACGATAGAGCAAACATGTGTCACAAAACTTGACTTTTACTGAATGACCATTGATAAAAATGTCCTTTGTTCTTGGTAACTTCACATCAGGGGCTGCATTGCCTACCCACTCCATAGATGCTGAACTTGCATTCAACATTTCATCCAAGTCAGGTGGCCGCGAGTTCCTAGGAACTATTCCTGGATTGCTTGAAGATGTCATGAAGAGAAAACTCAACGCCTGCATTAAATCGGTTACAGCATTCATTCTTAGTGCTATTCAGTTATTGCAATTTTATCTTCCAAGTGTTGAATTACATACCAAAACTGTGATGATGAGTCCCACAATTAGTACAACATGACCATATATTGGACTGACTTTTGGTATCATGAATAGCATTTTTATGCAAAATGTCAATGCAGGAGCCCCTATCAGAAATGTCGATAAGTACAGTGATGCTGCATCAGGACCAAAGATCAATCTTCCTCCACATAGAAATTTCTGAAACATTAGATAAAGCTTTTATGATTCAGCTATTCTGCATCAAAAAACTAGGTAACATTGACTTCTTGCATTAGCTTATCATAAATGAAAAACCAGCATGAATTTGTAAAAGCCCCTTGACAAGGCTCGTCCTAAAAAAGGCAGCTCAGTGCATAAATCATCACAACAAAAGGTGGCCGATTCCACGGCTCAAACTCCTAACCTACATGTTTACACATGTACAATTATACCGTTGTTCTAAGGCTCCCCTTCTGAACAAGACTCGTTCTTAAACTACAAAATTTCATACACGCAATCAAGATCAAAAAAGATTAAAAAGGGCTTACATTGCGACCCTTCCAAACTTGATAAAGCCTTTTCTTCAATTTAGAAGGGTCCATAGATTTGGAAGAAAAAGACAAATCTTGATTTGTGATCCCACCTCCCATCACAGTGCTAAATCCAAATAAACAGTTAGAAGCAAGAAATTATATACTCTCTTTTTTTTCTTTTTTTGGTTATTATTATAGATGTAAAACAACAATACCCATAATTTATTGAAGATCAAAAAAGAAAATGAAGATTGTATATTGAGGGGGTGCTGGTGCCAAAAAAAACATAATAATTTGGAGAAGAGGAGGAAGAAGAAAAAAACAAGAATTCTAATTTTTCTCTCTCCTCACTCTTTCTCTCTCTTCTTCTTGATTGATCTAAACCAGCTTTTCCCCAGCTCTACATGTTGAATGATGGTTTCTTTTCTTTTTTCTCTCATTACCGTTAAAACAGTTTGGAGGAACCGAACATTTCGCGCGGATTGTCTCTTCTTCTTTTTTGTTGGAAAAGAGGTTGTTTATGTTTCAATTATGATGTAGTTTAATCCTTTAATGTTTTGTCTTTTAGGATATTTAGTCCCTTTTGTCTACGGAAAGCAAATCAATTCTCTATATTTATCATCATACTTTGGTGGCATTACTTTTAACCGCTCTAATCTGATGTGTACTACTCGAGCTGACAGTTTTTTGTTAAATAGTATCTCTATCTTCGTGAAGTAGAAAAAAAAGTTTGTTTTCACTCCTCCTTCCTAATGGGACTACACTAGGTTTGTTGGTGTATTCATAATTGAAGGCTATAGTTTTATTCAATTTTTGCCCATCTTTACTACAACGACATAATCAATGTAAAATTTCGTCGATAGACCCTTGACTCAAAATAAAGTGTTGTCTATGCAATTTCGTGCACACCTCATAATTTCACCAAGCTTAGATAAACAGAAAAAAAAATCATTTAATATTTTGCCAATTCTAAAATTTAATATCTTTCAGCATTAGCACTCGCTTCATTGGCCTCTACATCACACCCTTAGGAGAGTGAGAAAATAGTTGTAATTGGAATTCATTTCTCAATAGAGAGAAACAATAAGGAAACCAGTGTATGCTCCAGCAATCAAAGAACTTAAAACAGAGCTGCAACAAAATAACACTAGTCTGATGCATAATAAGAACAACACTACAGGTCTAACACATTAATAGGATATCGTACAATATCATCAACTAGCCGAAGCCGGTGAAAATTATGAAGAGCAAGAAGAAACCTGTCTTCACTGAATTTTACCCTGTCAATGACAATCCTAAGTACTTAATAATACATAAAAAGCAACAAATTGTCTAGAGTCGTTGCAAACGATAAGCTACAACATCCCGGTGTTGGGCTCCGGGTGATGACATAATTGATAATACTAGATTCCATAAGTTATCCATTCAGAGGGTGTACCAGATGTCCAAAACCTTGCTGCTCCTATCTTCAACTATTGATCTGCTGCAAGAAGGAAAAAACAACATTTTTAGTGTGTTTTTTGGGCTAAAGTAATTAAATGATATTAGAAAGCATCAAGAAGATGCAAAGTTACAAAAGCACACTGACATGTTTTAGTGTTATGTATCCATGACTATATAATTTACATGATGTGTCTATAAAGAACCAGGAAAAGAGGAGACGAAATGGGAAGAGGGAATAAATTAGAGAAGGGAGAAAAGAGGAGGAATTCATCCAGCTACTTTAGAAAGAACTCAGTTGATTCAAAGGTAGCCTCATTATGTTTGACCTACTTTCTATTTAGACCATTTCGAAAAGACAAATTTCTAAAGTGGACGATTTAATTGATCTAGAAAACTTAAGTTGCCGTCCAATTAAATCACTTCGTATTTGTTTCAATTCCATGTTGACTTTTATACCTTTTCCCCCATTTTCTAACCATTAATTTTACACATTCAAGATCCAGCTCTAGGGGTTTGGTCTGGCTATAAGAGCACAAATGTGTGGGTCAGAAACAAAATACGGGTTCGAACCTTGCAGCAGACAAAAGCGAAAGGTAGAGGAACAGGCTCATTATCATTTATCCACCGAGTTTTGAACTGTAAGTCGCTAGCTTGGGGATTTCTGGTTATAAAAGGACCCATTGGGATAGGCGGAACTGGGAACATAAGATGAAACTATTAGGATATCACCAGTAAATGTACTACCAAAGACTGTTTCAGACCTGTCCCATCTGATATTAGCATGTGGTGAATGGAGAAAAAGAATTATTCTAAATTTGAGAACATGCGACTGGAAGTTGAAGAATTTATAGATTTAATTGACAAATAGTGGAATCTTACAAATCAAATAACAGATCAAACATCGGAATAGCTAAGAAGTTGAGACTTCAAAAGAATGACAACAAGGAACAGAATGTCAAGGTATTTGACATATTGGAAAAAAAAAACTACAATCCTCAAAAACCTAGAGGATTTGGATAGACACAGAGAGAAAGGCATGGAATGAAAAGAATTTGTCAGTTAAGAAATTTCTCTCACGTAATCCGAGAGATATTGCAAGAGCTGAAGAAACATCATGGCGGTAAAATTCAAGGATGATTAAGGCTTCATCAAAGGAATAAAAATACCCAAAAACTTCATAAAATGATGAATACACATGAGATGCAATCACATTCTTTATGCAGGACACACAGGGAAACACTAAGTGGAAATAGCTCACATTCTTTATGCAGATGATACAGTTGTGCTACATGAGGAAAAAGGAAGAAAAATTGCTTTGCTTAAAAGCTATACTTGTGGCCTTTGAGGCAATTTCTGGTCTACAGACACTCTCACCAAAGAGCAGCATATTTCCGGTTAAATCTGAACAGATGATACAAGAACTGACAGAGATAATGGGATGCCATGGAGAAATTTTCTAAAGTTTACTTGGGACAACCTCTTGGATCCAGACTGTCAGACAGAGGGAAAAG